TCCAACTCTATTCTTCAGCCTGCTCCAACAAATACTCCCAGAGGAAAATTTCAGCTGAACATAATAAGCGCGATGTACTTAGTCGCTTCTAAACTTTACTTGGATATTGGGATGTCAAAGATGACTATTTATTTAAAAGCAGAAAAAAAGTTTGAGGAGGTTAGGTTGGATTTTTTAATATGGCAAAGCATACAAGGGCTATTTGTCTAAGAGTAGGGATCTCTTAGTGGAGGACTTTGATAGGGAAACTGGATTGTATTTACATTACACATGGGGGATAACTATGAAAAACAACGATGCATCCAGTTCGTTCGCCTGCGATCGAACCCGGTCGAACTTCCAGTGTTAAACACCCTTTACCACTTAGGCCACTGATTGGGCCTTTTTTGAGGAAAACTTAAAAAGGTAAACAGTTTTATCATAAAGAAAAAGTGTGAAAACACGGAAACACATGCACACTAATCCTTCCTCAAAATTACAGCCTGCGTCAAATTACCTGAGTTGACAGATGGACTAAATTTCATTCTTCCTTGTGTGGGGCTATTATTGCCCGAAAGACAAAAATATTACTTTGGCTTGGTTTATGTGAGTACGGCAAAGCTTCGAGGGATATCTGCCTAAAGGAAGGGATAATTTTGTGACGAACTTTCTAAAGGGAAACTGGCTCGTATACACGTTACCCATGAGGGAAACCACGAAAGCGCTCATGCAATCGGCCTGTTCGCAGGATTCGAACCTCGGAGCGAACTACCAGTGTTCAGCGACTTTACCGCTCGGATCTGGTAGGCAATATTATTTGGGAAAAGCATTATTTCAACATAAAATTGAATAGACAGAAACTACCAAATGAAACTGTTGCAATAAAGTAATAAATTTCCAACAATTTCTGTATTTCAAAACATTGTAAGTAATTCTTTCTTAAAATTACTAAATGGTATTCATGAATTTTTAAGCTTTGCAAAATTTGCATCTTTAATTCAGAAATATATTTCTCGTAAGAGTAAGTAGCGTGCGAGAGCTCATGGGAAAAGGCCTGCTAGCTTCCGATTGGTAAAATCGCTGAACACTGGTAGTTTCGAGCTGGGTTCGAATCCATGCGAACGGGCTGACTGCATGGGTGTTTTCGTGTTTTTCCAATGTGCAAAGTGTAAATTAGCCAGTTTTCTTTGGAAAAGTCTTCTACGAAGGCATCCCTCCCCTTTTTCCATAATAAACTAAACCAAACCAAGCTACTAGGAAACATTTCTTTTCACGCTGTTAATTGATTCTTTAGCTCAAGGTTTTGGTTGTGCTTACAAACTTCTTTAGCTTTACTGCGAGAATCGAAAATTAAAGGATTCGTTTGTCTGATACCAGCACAACCCGCAATGACTATCTGCCGAAGGGCAGGAATGCCTTCGTGACGGTATTTTTTATGGTAAACTACTTTCTTTGCATATTGCACATGGCGAAAAAGTCCATGTAGCTAGCTCGTCCTCTGGGATTAGGAATCAGGTGGAACACCAGCGTGGCGTGAGTCTGAAAGTTATGGCAAAGTTCTAACACAAAACTCCAAAATGTGCATTATTGTATGAAATTAAGCTATTAACGTATGTTATGATTTAAATTTACAGTTAGGTGTTTTCAAATTCCAAGACCCGCCAGCTTCCGAGCGGTAAAAGTAGCTGAAACTGGTAGTTCAACCTAGATTCACTTTCATGCAAACGGCCGGGCTGAATGCGTATTTTCATGGGTTTCCCATATGCAGTGTAGATATGAATAAGTTTGCCTTAGAAAGACCTCTCTTCTCTTAAGACGATAACCCTCGCGTCCTTTGCCGTAATCAAATAAGTGAAACCAAATCAAACCAATTTAAGAATCATTAATATGTATTACTATAAATAACTTTACTGATTTACGAGTCGCAAAGAAGCACAAACTCTCTAGTTTAGGAGCAATATAGCATACGTTATGAATACTGTTTTGTTATCCTTTGGAGATAGAACATAATTCAACTTCTTTAATGTTTTGGTAGAGTTTTAAATGTCATGTTACCTGAATTAATCTCGCAGCTGCACTAAATTCTTAACACGGATGAAACTGAGAAACACATAACAAATGTGAAAAGCAGCACTAAATTAACTACACATTTTAGTAAGAAAAAGCAAGTTCTGAATAAATTTTTTATACCGACTTTTTTAAGCATTAAAAGCAATACTCTATTTCTTAAAAATACCAAACATCTCTTCTGATTTATTTAAAAATTGAATTTTTTTATGTAACGAAAAATATAACCCCAAAGTAAGAATAAAATTAAAAAATACATTAAAATAATTAAGGGAAATCAAGAATACACTGCATACAGTTCAATTTCCAAAAATGGTACTGAGTACTGAAATGTGGAAAAGGTTAAATAAGTACTGAAATGCGGAAAAAGTATAAAATTCGACGTAACTAGGTCTCTTAAAACATTTTATCAAAGTACATAGCCGGCTTGAAATGCACCATAAAAATAAATTATCTTAAAAAATGTTATTTATTTTTACTATGTGCAACCTCTTCTTCAAAATAATTTTCATAAAAAGTTTACTATCTCTAACATGGAGTTTAAAGTAAAGGAGAAGGACATAATAGCGTATCTCGGTTTTTCGTATATAATCAGAAAACTTAAACCAGCCGATTGATAATTCTAATTTAAATTTCAATGGAGAGACAACTTGCCCATTTCGACTGCACGGAGTTTAAATATTGCTATTTTAAAACGAACCACAGATTGGTCAATTAGCCTTATCAGTGATAGATTAATTCAGTGTATTGTTAGGCTCGGTTGAACTATTACTGAATGGTTTAGTTTCATGGGCGTTTTCGCTGTTCTTTCTATGTATAGCACGAATAAAAGCAAGTTTTCTCTAACTCTTCAGGCCCACCAGCGGCCGAGCGTAAAGATGCTGAACACTGGTAGTACGGTGTGAGGTTGGAATTCCGCAAATCGGCTGCCTGCATGGACGTTTCGTGGTTTTCTCTACATATAACGTTGTATAAGAGTCAGTTTCCCTTAACGGTCCTACACGAAGGCATCTCTTCCCTTAGGCAGATAGCCCGAGTTTGCTTTGCCGTAATCTCAATAAACCAAACCAAATCTTTAATTTTACAAGGTTTCTTCTATTTAGGTAAGTAACAATAGTATATTTTGCTCTTATCTAATTAATACGTAAAAATATAAGGAAATTCCGCAGTACAAGTTAGCATGCCATCATGGTTAGGTTAAATTATTTGAATACGGGAAAGCACACGAGGGTTATCTGCCTAAGGGGAGCACACGAGGGCTATCTGCCTAACGACTTTTTGCGGAGGACTTGCTAAACGAAAGGGATCTGAAACTTACTTATTTGAGTTACACATGGCGAAAACCCCCCAAACCAACCACATAACCGTCTACTTGTGAGAGTTCAAATACAGGTCAAACTACCAGTACTCACTGGTCACCATTCGGTAACTACTGGGCCCACTGGTTGCCGAGCGGTAAATTCGCTGAAGAATATAATAGTTCGGTTAAGTTCAAAACTATGGCAACCGGGTTGGTTGCATGGGCGTTTCCGTAGTTTTTTCCCACTGTCTGATGTGTATACGAGTCGGTTTTCCTTAGAAATACTTGCACGAAGGCTTCCCTCCTCTTAGGGAGGTAGCCTTCGAGTGCTTTGCCATAATCAAATAAAGCAAATCAGTAGCTACTGGAGAAGATATTATTAGATCTAAATATCGAAATACGTTGCAATGAGGTAAATATAGGCGGTGAAAACAATTTATTGATTGTAAAAAGGAAACAGTTTTGAAAAACTTCGGATTAAAGAACTTCAAGGTTTGTTTTCCAAAATTCAATTTTAGGTTTAGTGATAAATTTAACACGTGTATTGTAAAGAAATAATAGCGGATCATGTGCAAAATGAAAGAATTTTCAGACAGTTAATAGTATTGTGGTACGTAGTATGAAGTGTTTGTAAATCCGGAAAAGGAAACCCTTCCTTCTGGAAAAATGTGATGTTGAGTGAAGAAAGCATTTTTAATATTTTGAAATTTAATATTTGGAAAAAAGTGTTAAAGGATAACTAGACAGAATTTGCTTCCCTGTTAAATAGGGTGAAGAATCAGTTACAATAGGTTTGACTTATTTAAGTCGAAAGATCCCATTGTGGTGGTCTTCCTAAGGAAAACTGACTCATGTCCAGAAGTACAACAAAGTGAGAATTTAAATTAGTAAATGTTTTTCCGAGTCTTTAGATTAATGCTTAAAATTATACAGAACTCTGTGCACAATAAAATATATATATCAAATATATATCAATATATATCAAATTCAATTAACGAGGACGAGCTAAAATGTTTAGAGCTATATTCTTAAAAAACTATTCGTGCGAGTTTTACAAAACGCACTTTGAGTCGTAAAATCAAAATATGGAAAAAAATCGTAGGTAATTTCAGAAAAAGTCCCATTTTGTATCAGAATACCTATGTTAGAATAATGCTATGTATAAATCTAGTATATGTCTTAAGTAACGTTTTCGAGACAAGTAGAACGCAAGTTAAATTTCATCAACCGGCCTAATTAGAACTGGAGATGTACTATAACTGTCCAATTGTTTTCTGTAAGGTATATCTAGAATATGTTAGATATGCAGATGATACTTTTGTCTTTATTGGTGCAAATAATAAAACAATCAAATTGCAGTTTTCTATAATTAACATGACATTTAGCTCAAGCTGCCTGTTCAAACCTTTTCCATATGTGTTCTGTTTACCATAGATATGTCAATCAAAATCCTTCCTTTATTTATTAATTTAATCTACACTTGGCAAGAAGAACTCGAATTAAGTATCGTTCAACTTTCACCACATGTGTTCTATCAATCAAAAACCTGATATACAATGAATGTTTATTAAAGTCATTCATATTTATTCATTTGTGTAATATATAAGTGACATAAGCCTGTAAACTGTTAGAAAAGGCCACTGTTATTTTATAATCGGCAGTAGCGTCACTGCTCAAACTTTCGTAGAAAGAAGGATTTCTCGATAATAAGTTGAGAATGAATTTCCTAAAGAATGTCCTTTGTCACAAACTTTTGTAGAAAGAAGGATTTCTCGATAATAAGTTGAGAATGAATTTCCTAACGAATGTCCTTTGTCAAATCTTGCTTTTAGCTTGTAAGTGAAAATATTTACTTATTTTCAAATACAATGATATTGTTTTATAAATTGTTATTCTTCATAAATTTATTTTTCAGCAGTACCGTTCAACTTAGGTATTACTGATTCTTCCGCTTAATCCAGAGATTTTGACGTCGTGTGTAGAAATACTGTTTTAAGAAGCCAGTTGACTTAGGCAAAAACAAAAAGAACAGCGTACTGCAGTTAGCTAATTAGAATATGATTCAGCGTATATATCTGCCAGTTATGCCATTTATAGAACCAAAACAGTCATCCTGCTTCACGTGCTGATAATTTAGATCTATTAATAGTCATAAGTCTTAGGTGGTGATTTCTTTCGTATGAGATAAAGCAAAAACTCGAATTACAAAGGTTGTTCGTACATTGTTTAAACTATTTGCATTGTACTTATAGATATATTTTACCTGAACATTTTATGTTTTAATCATCCTATTTTGATAACCCTTATTGTTCGTTATATTTATACAGAGTAATTTCCAAGACAATAAAGCCTTTTGTAGCATAGGATGATAATATTTTATCCCATTGCTCTCGAATAGCTTTGCAAAGTTTAAGGAAGTTGTAGGTCGACATCTTAACAAACCCGCTTTTGAAAAGTCTACAAGTTCTGAAATACTTTGGTGATAGATCAGGTAATTTAGTAGAGATACGAGCGAAGGGTATGGCCTTGATACCCGTTTCTTATTCTATTTTCTTCCAGGAAATTAATAGTTAATTTTGACGTGTTGCTGCTTGCTTTGTCTTGATGTAGTTCTACTGACTGAGCATGCTTTGTGTAAAGAGAAGGTATTTCACATTTGAAAATTTGGTATAAAACTTTTTTTTGACAATATGTGGAGTTGATCTTAATAGCCCCCCACACTCTCTTTATTTTTAATTTGTAGTTATATGAAAAATCAGCAGCAATTATAAATCTCTTAGAAAAGTTTTCTTTAGATTCCTTGAACCATGTTTAATTTTTTTTTTTTTTTGTTTTCTTTGATGAAAATAAATGGACCTCTTTTGTCGAACTCATTGAAGTATACCCGATTCGTCTATTGCAATAACATTTTTCCATTTTTGTCCGGATAAATATTTCTGCCCGCGCGTTTGGTGATATGTCGTGGAGAAAGGCGGTGCACATTGTTTTTTCGCCCTTTTAAACTTCGAATTAGCATTAATCACTTTTTACAGTTGGCATCGAGCATTTTAATGATCTTGTAACTTTCCTTTGAGGATTTTCTTTTAACATTTAAAAAATCTTATTTTTGAAACATTCGAAATATTCCATTTTTTTCCTTGGATACGTACTTGGAACAATTCTTACACTTGAATTTAAATTTTTTACGTTTTTTTTCCTTTGTTGTTGACGACATTATCTATTGCAGCTTTACATACTGAAACATCATGATTTTCACAACGCTTTGGAATAATTAGATACGAATAATGTTTTTCAGAAAGATCACAAACGTAAACTTCTATCCATTGCCATCTTTAAAAGCGATATTTTACACGAAAACAAAAGGGCCAAGTAGCAGAGACGATAATTTATACTTTCAAAAATGCCGTTGCAGTTAAAAAAATTCCAAACAGAAGACCTGTTTTTTTTTTTTTTTTTTTTTTTTTTTTTTTTTTTTTTTTTTTTTTTTTAAAGGAAAGCAGAGTAGTCTAAAAATGCTCGAACAGCTTCTGTATGTAGTTGTCGACAAAGAATATCGATTTTGAAATAAGAAAATGAGTTGCGAGTAATATAAGAACTTTAAATTAGACAATTTTAACTTTAATTATTAACGTTTTATAAAAATTGTTTAAAAATATTTTATAAAAATTCCTGTTCATTTCGAAGGAGAATAACATGATAATTGTTTCACTCGGGAAGGGAGATTCGCTCTCCTTCCCTATGTTGCTCGCCACTGAGCGGCGCGTAAGCACAGAAAAATTATAAATGAAACTGAATTTTTGAATAATTGGTTTTTAAAAAGTAAATTATTGTACTAAAATATTTATCAGTATAAATGTTTTTCGTAAAATCCAAGTTACTTAATACTGAATTATGGTAAAACCTTATAAAAATATGTTATTTTCACTCTTAACTTTTATATTTGATAATGTTTTACTTACATGTGCTACTTCAGCATTTTCATTTCTTCAATACTTATTTCGAATTTCTTCTTTAAGCCATGCTATTATTTTTTACTATTGCTTTTAAACACTAACTTTCATTCAGTTTTATTTGCTTACGGCAGTTACATCCATGATTAGAAAAGTCTTTTTTTTTTTTTTTTTTTCTGAAGAAGAGATTTTAAAATGAAAGTAATTTCTTTTTATTGCATACAAAATAATTTCATTTGGCTTTCACAATTTATATTTATTTTCTTTCACTTTACTTTTCGAAATGCCTCAAATTAAAAAAAATCTTTAGAATATAATTGATTATTTTTTTAGCAATAGGTACAATTATTTTCTATCTCAAGATCGTTTTTAAATGTATTTACTTAAAGAATTAAATTTCTTCATCCTGGCAGTCTTAAATTAATTATTCTAATTAAAAGTTTAAAACACAGTTGTAGAAATGAAATGAATATCATTCTGCATTTTACGTTAGAAGTATCATTTTATTACACATTCATATGATTCCTTGCTCCTAAGAGATCATTACCTATTAATGATCTCCTATCAAAACTTGAAAATCTTACTTGTTGTGATACTATAGCCTTTGCGGATGATGTCTTGTGTTAGCTTCCAGAGTAGGGACCTTTCTGCTACTTTTTTACAGGCACAAGAAACTTTAAATCTCGCCTCCGACTGGTCGGAAGGATTTAAATTAGACTTTAATCCTGATAAAACCAGGGTTATGAGTATTGAAAAGAGAAACACCTGTTATGATGCATTTCAGTTATCTCTCGATGGTACACCTTTGACTGTGGTAAAGCATATGAAATATCTTGGGGTTTTTCTCGACTGTAAATTTTCTGGGAAGCACACTTTAACTTAATGTATCAGAGAAATGTGATGAATTACAGCGTGGATTAAGTCGTATTGCATGCACACGTAAGGTATTAATTACAATGTTCATTCGCTCATCTATAACAAGGAATTGCAACCCTTCATTATGTATGGCTTAAAGTCTGGGGTATATTCGCTCAAGAAGAAGATAAATTATAGATATTTACGACGCGTTCAAAGGCGTATACTTCTGCGGGTCTATGTGGATTATCGCACCGTTAGCTATGATCTGTTTATGCAATTTCTGGCTTTCCTTCCTCCAATTGACATTGCCATTCTTCATGCCTAGCTTATAAGGAAATATTTCTGCTTCTGCTGTCTCTCAGTATCCTCATCCTTCAGAAGAAATGATGTTAATTTTATTCAGTTTAGCAATAAAAATCGTAGATGATTCGCCTGTAACTTGCCTATACTGATGGCAGAAAATTTATGGCAAGGTTGGTCTCGCATTTGTTTGTCTTCAAAAATGTCTATTTGGAGCACTTCAATTTAGAATTAGACATGAATGTACCGTTTTTATAGCTGAACTTTGTGCTTAAACTTCGCCATCAAATGGGTCTCTGAACAAAATAGTGCTGTTTCAGACTATCTCATTTGTACTGATTCCCTTTCATCCTTGGAGATCTTAAAATGTATTCCTTCTTCTATATACATTATCGAGGTTCAAAAAGAAGTGAAAAACCTAAAAGATAAAAATATTTCGGTTGCATTTTCATTTGTTCGTGGTCATACAGATGTTGTTGGGAACGAACGAGTCGATTTCCTTGCTAAGGCTGCGACTAAGCAGGAAATTGACACTTTTGTCAATATACCTAATTCCTTTTATAAGAAGGTCATGTATGAAAGTATTGTGGATTCGTGTAACCACGAATTCATTAATTCAAATACAGGGAGCTTAACAAATTTATTTTGCCCTTCTATCAAGATGAGATTATCATGTCATCACTTCTTCACAGACTATAAATTAACCCAATTTCTTACTGGCCATGGAAATTGAAAAGTTATTTGAATGATTTAAATTAAGCTCCTATTCTTCTGGATTGTAGCCTCGGTGGAGAGGAAATGTTGAAACATGTGCTTCTTCTATGTCCTAAATATAAGAACGAAAGAAAAGTCTGAAATGGAACTGAGAAACTTAATATTACTGGTCTCCAGATTTTTATCAATTTATTTTCCGAGAGAAGTGCTTTAAACACTTTTTGTCAGTTTATTGTGAAACTTGTAATCATCCTTAATTTTATTTTAGTTTTTTCTTCTGTTTATTTTGTATTGTGTTTCATACATACTTCTGTAAGCCCCATGTGATACTATGTGGTACATGGGGAACTTATTGGGTTTCTTTAATTAAAATAAATTAATAAATGAATTTATACGTTTAAACATTTATACACACATAAGTTCATGGTACTAGTATACTGTTTAAATATATTGATACCAATATAGCTTGATGAAACCAAATCTAACCGCTAGAGAAAGAGCTACAATGCGCGAAATTCATTCTAACCCGAATATTATCATTTCAAAGCCCGACAAAGGTGGCTAGATAGTCGCCATGGACAAGAAAACTTACATCGATGGTGTCACTAAACTCTTAAACGAAGGACCATATAATCCGATCTCTAAAGATACTTTACCTTCGGACCTGTCGAAAATAAAAACTGCGATTCCAAAGATTTTGGTTCCTGTTGAAAAAACTTTCAAGTTTCAGATACACGGAAAGAAATAATTAGGCATCTTATCGCTCATAATCTGAAATTCAACAATAAGCATTTTAAATCGAATTTAAACGCGAGAGAAAGAGTTACAATGCGCGAAATTCATTCTAACTCGGATATTATCATTTCAAAGGCCGACAAAGGTGAGTCGTCAGGGACTAAAACACTTACATCGATGGTGTCACTAAACTGTTAAACGAAGGACCATATAATCCGATCCCTAAAGATCCTTCACCTTCGGACCTGTCAAAAATAAAAACTGCGATCAAATTTTCA